TAAAAAGGAGGGCAAACCTGCCTTTTATAATGCTAAATTACAGTGCTAATTAAGGTGCTACTACTGAAGGGGCTTTCCATCTATATCCTCCAAACTATATAAATAAGTGAATATACCATGATGAGGAATAGGAAAATCTAGAGGTTAGTGTAGGATCCAATTAACAATGCTTATTTGTACACACTTACCAAACTCAGTCTAATATACATAGTTTCTATATCCTGGGGTGGCCAAACTTTCTGAAGTTATGTAAAATATTTGTGGTATAATCTTATGCAATACATGTAAACATTTTATTCTTAAGGGGGAATATAATTTGCTATACCACATATTCTACCAATGTCCAAATGAGGTTTCCTCATGTTTACTTTCTAGGGTGAAAAAAAAAAAGAAAGATTTTTTAAATAATCATTTCATCGTTTCCTTTAGCATTTTTCTTTAATTGATATCTTTCATTTTCAATGTTTTAACTTAGTTATTTCTAAACATCTTTTGAATACAAATAAATGTATAATGCCTCATCATGAAAATATGATAATTTCATTAAAAATTGTGAGAGTTGAGAGATTCATTGGTCTATGGGCATAACATTAAGTCATTAGAAACAGTGTGATACTATAACTATTTAGTAGAAAGCTGGTATTGGTCTCTCCCTTATGCCCTCTGACCTATCTAGCCTCAGGTTCCTAAGCCTGATATCAATACTAGGTATGGGCTCCATCCTATGAAGTGGACCTTAAATCTAATTAGAGAGCGGTTAGTAATTCCCATAATTTATGTGCCACTGTTGCACCGGTGGGCACATCTTGCTAGGCCAGTTGTAGTTCACAGCTGGGTACAGTTGAGGATTGTTTTGTTTTGTTTTGTTTTCCTTCCAGTAGCATACATAGCACTTTCCAACTATGAAAGCTATGAAAGCTAGCAGAGATGAGGCTCTGAAGTCAGCACCAGCTTGATTTCTCCTTGTTTGTTCTATGACTCACACATGTAGTGTCTTTGGCAATAGGGTCTTATTATCAGGTTCTGGTAGGTAACTCAGAGCAGGGACAGTGGCCAGTAATTGTTTAAGGGTCTAAGGGACTCCTAGTCAACAACTTCTAGAGAGGGAGTCTATTCCTGACATTGAGGTTTTATTTTGTTAGTTTATGATATCTGGAAGGGACAATGTCCCCTTGTTATAAGGTAACTCCTTTTAATCTCTTTTTATAATGTATATAGTTAAAGAAGCTTCAATAGTGGTAGATTTCCATATGGCTTTTTCTAAAGGCCTTTAGTGTTACTTATCTCTCCCCATATTCCCTCCTCTCCCTGTCTTCCCATTTCCCACCCTAACTTACTCTAATGTTCCCCTGCCTCCTTAGTAGCACTGCATTCTACCACCCTTCCCAGGAAGCCACTCCCTCTGCTTCATGGGCATTTATTAGTTTCTTGGCTCCTCTGGATTTTCACATTGAAATATGTACACATATCTAAGATTTCAAGGCTGGCATCCAGCCATGAGAGAGAACATGTGACATTTGTCTTTATGGGTCTGAGTTACCTCACTCAAGATGATTCTTTCCAGTTCCATCCATTTACCTACAAATTTAATAATTTTGCCTTCTTAAAGAGCTGAATAATATCCCATTGTGTTTATGTACCATACCTTATTATCCATTCATCAGTTGATGGACATCTAGGTTCTTTCCAATTTCTGGATATTATGATAAGGGTAGTAATGAACAAGGATGAACAGGTATTTCTGGAGTAGCATATAAAGTCTTTTGGGTATATGTTCAAGAGTGGTATAGCTGGATCACATGGTAGATCAATTTCAGGCTTTTTCAGGAATCACCACACTGATTTCCATGGTGGCTGCACCAGTTTGCACATCACCAGCAGTGGTTACGAGTTCCTTTACATCCTTGCTAGTATTTGTCCTTTGCTTTCTGGATCTTAGCCAATCTGAGTGGGGTAAGATCAAAAATTCAATGAAAAAAACAGAATATACCAAAAAGAAAATAACCTATGAAAAAAATCAAAGTTATTATATTACAACTATTCTCTTCTTTCCATGAAAGGAGGGAGACATGCAAATACAACGAGCATACCACATACCAGAGAGAGAGAGAGAGACGGGGGGGGGGAATTAGATTGATACACATGAAACTTAGTGGAAATATTACATGAGGTTCCCGGTTTTTATGGATGCTTTTGGAGTAGATAAAAGGCAAAACCATATTTGCATTAAGTCTTGACTAGACATAAAGTAGCTAAAAGACCATCTATAATGGAAATTTGGTCTTTAATTATCAAGGTAATATGATGAGTCATTTTGTCCTATTGCCTTTGGAACAGGCCTCTGCCTTGGACAACTGTGCAACATTCACAAGCCCAGGAAGCCACTCCTAGTCTAGTCTCCGCCGTTCTTGGCTGTCAGTCACATCACTAGAGCACACTGATTCCAGGCCCTCAGCGTATCACTTTCCCTGCCCCATTTCTCTCACAAGAGCGTTTACCCTTCACTTTCAACAACCACAGAAACACTCCATACACTACTAAAATCAGAAACAGTTTGTTTTCCTTTAAGATTAGACATTGTCTCATTTTTTGTTTGTTGTTTCAGTCTTACTATATGACTTAGTAATGAGAAATTGTTGAGTGAGATATTCTGATGATGAAAATGATGCTAGTAATTTTTAAAAGCATCTTAATGATATTTAACAGGGATTCATGGTCAGCTGGGAGGAAATGATTCTACTCCGCTCTAGTTAGAGCAGACAGGACCTTCTGCTTTCCCTTCCAGCCTGCAGTACGCAAGGGGGAGGCAGGAGATAACCTTGTTTCAGGGCTGTTGTGGGAGGGTGGGTGGAACCTCACTGAGCAAACCTGGCATGGTGTAAATGCTGTCCTCAGAATCCTGGTTCCAAGGTTGCGGATCACCCTGTCATGGAAAATTTGCAGAGGACTAGCGATCAGACTGTCCTAGTTTCTTCAAACACTGGATTTTCCAGAGAGGAGGTTTAGTTTGACAAAGATGAGAACATGTTAATATTGTTCCTTTCATTTTTCTGCACCCAGTAGATGTTTCTCCTCCTCCCCATCCAGTTCACCAGGTTTTATGTAACTATCACTGTCTGAATAGAGTCACAGATGGACAATAGACAGGGACAGATGCTGGACCGATAGACACGCAGACACACAATGGCCTCCACGCTGTTTCTCCACATGCTTTGCTTTTCCCTATTATTTTTTAACGTGCATTTCCCGATACTCTCCACTGGAATTTATCTCAATAAACACATTCAAATACATAGTATTTTTCTAAAGGCGAGATTACGGTAGCCCTGACTCCAGGAATGAGGTACTTTAAAATCTGGAGGAACCCAATTAACCCAGAATGAACCCACAATTGACCTAGAATGTAAAAGTGTCTTTAAGCCATACCAGCACATATGTGTGAAAGATTTTCGTGTAGGATTCAAACTGTCGAATGAAGGCTCACAAGGAGACTTAAGAAACTGACAGTTTTAAAGTTTGTGAGAATGGAAACTAAATAGTACAAATTCAGTGAACCTAATTAATTTTCATTTGAATTTCAGAAACATCAAAACAATCTAATTGTATTTGATTTCCACTTTTTAAAAGTATATTAACTTAGCAAAAGAAAACAATCTAATGACCATCCTAAAGCCTGGATGTAATGTAATATATGTGAAGCTGATTGCTTTTGGAAGGGATTGCTTTTGAGCATAGAAATTTTCAAATTCAAAAAATAAATTAACACAAAAAATCTGTGCTCACGAAGCAGAGCTTCTGATACACAGGTTTAATTAAGCACACAGATTCAGAAGGTAGTTTTAATCCTATTTTCTAGTGTGTACTGTGAACCAAACCACCTCAGATCATAATATGTTATTTCTAGTAAACAAGAACCTGCATATAAATTTTCACACACGCATTCAACACATTCTTCCAGAGTAAAAAACAACATGTTTACTACATAAGACTAAGCATGTCCCTTACAAGAACAATCTGGCTCCTAGTTCGGCATTTTCTAAGGATGATGTACCTAGTGTCACAAATTCCATCACTTAGATCCCTGAACACAACACAGATGGTATGGAAGCCTGGTGGGATCTGGAATTTTTTGCTATCAATACGAATGAGATTATTAATCTGATTCCAATTCTAAATAATTGAAGAATCAACTCTTTGTACTGAGAAACACATTTGTTATCTGGTTTATATATCTGTTTATATATCTGTAATTTATATATATCTGTTTATATATCTGTAATTTGAATAAGCTACATTAATTATCTAAAAGAATTTCAATCTCTTCACTATCAAAAATTATGATGGCTACAGAGGTAGCTTAGGTGACAGTGTGCTTATCTTACAAACATGAAGCTCTGAGTTCAGTCTCTAGGACAAATATTAAAAAGTAGTTGGGCACAGTGGCTTCCTTTGGATTCTAGCACTGAGAAGACAAAGGCAGGTGGATCCTGGAGGGGTTACCTAGCCTACTTGTCAAGGGCCAGGCCAGTGAGAAACTCTGTGTCAGAAAAAGGTGTAGGATACCTGAGAGAGAAGAGCCAAGTTTATTCACTGGTCCTGTACTCTTGCACACACATGTACATGTGCACATGTGCAATACATGCACACATGAAAACACACAGGGCTTAATTTTTAAGTTTGAGTGAAATGAAAAATAAGATATTGGTGAAAATGATAATAGATACTGATGAAAAAAACTGAGTCAATATTTACAAACAACAACAAAAACAGAATGTGTAAAAGCTGCAAATTCAGCAACAAAAATCATGTTACACAAAATATAAAATAATACAGTCTAATTCTATTCACTCTGGCTTAGCATCATTTTGCTAGCCATGGTGCCCATGTTCCCAGGACCTCCTCATTCTGACCATCATTGATATGTCCTTATAATTCTGCTTAAATGGGTTTCTAATCTCTGTTTGCTTTCTGTCAGCTCTTGTGTTTTTTCTCTCTTCCAGATGTGGACAAGGATGGACTGGAAATCGGTGCCACGTCAAGTCAGGCCCTCCTGCCTCAGATTTCCTGAGCACTCAGAACAGTAGGCAGCATTTGATGAAACAAATTGTGTGGGAGATGTGATACTTTTGCTGCATATTTATCTCTTCCCTGGGTTTGGATTTCCAGATATATGGACTCTGCTGGGCATTGGGTTCGCAGTCCTCACGACCCATGTTGCTGTTGCCGTCTTGTATTTTATTGCAAACCGACGGGGGCTAGTGAGGTGAGTGGTGCCGTTTCATTCTCAGGGTTGAATGAAACATGTACAGCGCGGCCATTTTCTGAAACATTTCATTCACTGTATTTCCATTCTGCCCTGTATTATGTGGGGGGAGTTTTAAGGTTCACATACTCTGAGGGCTTATTTTACTAGAGAGACGCAGCAGCATTTTTCAAATCGTTATAATAGGAGCCTTTCTGGAAGCACAGATGGAAGAAAGAAGGACATCGTTCAAAGACTCAACAGAGCTGGATCTAACTCCATCATGTGGTGCCCAGAGAAGGCCTCAGATCTGCAGTGGAGAACCTTCCTGACTCATACAGTGAGGCTGGCCGGGGTTCCAGCCAATACTCCCTTCCCCCCAAGCAGCACACAGGACAGAGGCCAGGATCTGTGGGACTGAATCAACTCTACAGGCTAGGCTATTGCGGAACTCAGAGCCCCCTAGCAATCTGCAGAGCCATTAGAGATATTGGAAGTTTCTAACCCATCACAGCTCTTGTTCACTGGGATAAATTAGAGATCACCCCAATAATAAGGGAGTTGACATATTCACAAACTCACCAAGATAGGGGTTCACAGTAAGTATGCATGAAATTTTAAGAAATGAAAAAAAAACATGCATCTTTTCCTTACACCTGTATGTTTGGTCAGATTTAGACATGCTACACTGGTTTGCCATAGAGCAATGGATATTACATCATTTTCCTTCCTCCTTGACAAATTCCCCTCAGACCTCCAGCCTGTAGTCCTTTATCTAGCAAACATCCATCTTCATATCATGAATTAAGGAAAATTTGTTATAGAACTATAGTATACCTTACCCAAAAATACATTTTAAATCTATGCCCTTCAAGAAGATAATATTCATGTATCAATTTTTACTTATGTTTACTTGACTAAAATATACCAGGCAAGGTCGGCATGGTGGTGCATGCCTTTAATCCCAGCACTCACGGAGCAGAGGGAGGTAGATCTCTGTGACATCGAGGCCAGCCTGCTCTACATAGTGAGTTGCAGGCCAGCTGGGGCTACGGTAAGACCCTGTTTAAAAGAAAATTATGTATGTATATATAATTCATATAATTTTTAATATATATTATCAGGCAACGCATGTAGGCAGACATGGATGAGATGCAATCTAGACTCGAAGAAGCTTTCCTTCTAGAGGCAGAAACAAACTCATAAAGCCTAGATGAGATATTGTCAGTGTGTGGGAATATGCATATGCATTAGTTGAGATTCTTACATTGTGTATGAGAAAGAGAAGGAAGGGAGGGAGAGAAATAGAGAGAAAGAGAGACTAGTTTTAAGAAATCGTTTCATGCTGTTGTCTTGCCTGGAGAGGTAGAAACCTGTGGGGCACAGGCTGACAGACTAGAATTTGAAGTCAGAGGCGAAGGTGCAGCCCTGAATCCAAAATCTGAGCTCAGACCAGCAGGGGAGGCTAGATTTTTATTTTCTTCTCGAGAAATTTCAGTCTCTGTTCTTGGAGGGCCACCCATATTGTGGGTTACGTGGAAAAGTGACTGTATTTAACTTCAATCAAATTGCTTTACGTGAAGTCAATTGATTTTAAATGTTGATTGCATTTGAAAAAAAAAAAAAATGCCTTCACAGAAACATCTAGAACTAGATCAGTGTTTGACCAAACAACTGGTGGGGGCAGCCTAGCTTGAACAAGAACATGTGAAGTAGTGAGCACATGCATGGGCTATTCACCTAGCACCGTCCCTAATTCACACCTTCTCAGTCTGTAACTTGAGGCTACTTAAAGCTTCTCAGGCAAATCTTGAGATCCTTGTGCCACAGTGTGACAGTCACCAATCCTTTCTCTGTCCGATTTCTGCTTTGTGTGTGTGTGTGTGTGTGTGTGTGTATACACATGTTCATGTGGGTGTGTGCACATGAACATGCAGATGGTTGTGTGCACATGCTAGTGGAAAGCAAAAGGCAACACTGACATTTCCCTCAGTTGCTCTTCAGCTCGTTTATTGAGCAGGGTCTTTCTCTGACCCTGGAGCTCGGTCACTGATGCTGGCCAGTCAGGCTGCCTGCTTTTATTCCTCCACACACCTCTGTGGAGGTTCCCAGAGCATGCCACCATATCCAGCTGTTTACATGGGTACTGGGAGTTGAACTCGGGATCTCCAGCTCCTCCTGCCGGCACTTTCCTGACTGAGCCGTCTTCCCAGCCATTTCTTCAGTATTTATGACGCTCAGTTGCACTTTTTCACGTCTTTGTTCTTCCTTTGTTGATTTCTGCTTCTCTTTTCCCTCTTCCTATTTCTCGGTCCATGTAATTTTAATTCTCTCCCTGTTTTTCTCTTCAAACGGCATTCACTATTTAAAAGGGCCCAAGTAAAATTCATTCTCACACACAGGTGAAGTGCATATATTATTATCATGGGGTCCAGAGAAAAGTTCACCCCCCCTCAAAAAAAAAATCAGAACCACATTAACTCCTTAGGTGATAGAGGGCATTTCCTTACAGTCCATAGGGTGATCGTTTCATGAGACGATTCCAGCCTCTATTTCTGTCTGCACCCAGGAACCAAGCCTGCCGAGAGGGTGTTGATGTTTCTGATCCAACCCAGGGCTTCACCGTCTTCCTAGTCCAGCGGTAGCCTGGGTCAGACATTTTAAGGCTACAGTGAGGGAAGGTTGAAAGGAAATAGCGGACTTCAAAGAGGATTGGATTAAGTATTCAGCACTGAAAGTGGACGCAGTTATGGCCATGATGCATGATGGGAGGTCAGGATCTGAGAAGTGGATCAAGGAATACAGTGAACAGGAAGTACAGGAAATGAAAGATTGCCAAGTTAAAATCACTTTCCATGGGATTTGTTTGTTTGTTTAGGGTTTTCTCTGTGAAGCGGGAAACTGTGCATTCGGCAGGCAAATTCTCTATCCCTAAGCTGTAGCTCCAACTCTGTAATGCTTTTCTATTTCTAATGCAATCTATTTTTTTTGGTCTTTTTGAGACAGGGTCTCCCTGTAGCCCCAGCTGTCCTGGAACTCACTATGTAGACCAGGCTGGCCTTGGACTCACAGAGATCGGCCTGCCTCTGCCTCCCAAGTGCTGGGATTAAAGGTGTGCGCCACCACGCCCAGCACACTCTTAGTTTTAAATTACCCTACAAAGTAGCAGGTTTCCTTGTGGCGGTCTCCTGACCCTTAGCTTGGGCGAGCCCTCAACCGCTCACTTCTCCTTGCCCCTCCCTGCTTACAGTCCACCATCACACCTGTTCTTAGCTCTCCCCACTCCTCTCCCATAAAGCCTCTTTTTTTCTTTTCCCTGGATGGTTTCTGGTTTTGTGATGTCTACACACACACTCAGCCCCACATAAATACAACACATACATAAAAATTAGAAGGTAGGAATCTCATGTGAGGGACAACATGATGTTTGTTTTTCTGAGCCTGGATTATCACAATATAATATCTTCCAGTTCCATTTTGCTGCAAAGTTCATGCTTTTACATTTCTTTAACTGGCTGACCTGGATGGCTGGGCAGGCCCCCCTTCTTCCTCACAGATCTGCGTGCATCCCTCCAGAAGCTGTGCGCTGGGTTGAAGAGGATAGCCTCCTTTGATAGAGGAGGACCTTTCTTTGGTCAAGGATAATAAGGGTAGCTACATTCCCTGACAGAACCTCCGAATAGGCCCGCTCATGTTTTTCTTGCCCTCCGATTGTCCTCCGTCATCTTCCCTCTCCAGGTGGTTTCTCTTTCTGATTTCTAAAACCTGCCCCACTTGCTGCCTCAAAGTTTTTTACTTCACATTACTGTCTAAATCAAATACCAACAAGACAGTGTCTTGTGAGCCATCTGCCTTGCCCCCACTTCACACCTTGCAGTGGAGGGCCAATGACAGCTTTACTCATGTATGGAGAGGGGAAATTCCTCAAAAGAACCAGTCTTGGGCCACGGGGGGTGGCTCAGGGGGTAAAGGAGCTTGTTGCCAAGCCTGATAGGAGTTTCTGCTCCAGAACCCACATGGTGGTAGGAAAGAACTGATTCCCACAAGTTGTCCTCTGACCTCCACACAATCCTCCCAAAAAGTAAACATAAGAAAAAAATTTACAAGGAACAAACCAGCCTAACCCAGCCCAAATGCTGAGCAGAAGTGAACCAAGAAACCATTGACCTCCTCTATTGGAAGTTCAGCCTCGGGGATTTCTCAAGGGAATGTGGCACAAATGACATCGGGCCTCTTCCTGCACACACTCAAATTATATATAGATTCTTCCAGAAGGAAGACTCTGATTAGGAGCAGTGCATCTGGCAGGTTACCACTGCATCATGTGCTTTTCCTCAACAGTCCCCCTCTTTATCTTGAATGTTTTCTAAATCTCATACTAAAATAAATTTGAGAGATGTTAAATCACCCAGGAATTGGGGGGGTATGCAAAATAAAATGTGATCCCTTCCCCCCACCCGTGTAGATTTGAGGCAGCCTAGGATGCAGAGGGACAAGACATATATTCTTATGGTCTCCCTCCCATTCCTCTCCCCCCTCTCTTCTTACTTTGATCAAAGGCTTGGCTTTTTCATTGAAGTCAGATGGTGTTTCTATAATTTCTGTAATTGTACCAAATTTTATAATTGTACTAACTTTAAGTAACCTCTTTGATATTTTATGAAATTATTTGTGTATAGGGCATGGCCGCATTCATGTGGGTGTGTGCATGAGTGTGTGGTGTATGTGTGGGTCTGTGGGTGTCCCTGCATGTGTTGGCACATATGTACAGAGGCCAGTGGTCCACGTCAGATATCTTCCTTAATCATTGTGCAGTTATGTGTTTTATTTACTGTTTGAGAACTTCATACATGAGTATAATACGTTCTGATAAAAGTCAAGCCCTGCTCCCCCTCTTCTTATACCCTTCCCCTCACTTTTCCCTCCTAACTTCATCTAATTTTTTTTTTTTTTTTTTTTTTTTTTTTTTTTTTTAAAAAAAAAAAAAAAAAAAAAAAGAGGACGATAAATCTTTCACTGTG